AGAATTTTCTCTGTTAGTAACAAGAAATGTTTAGTACCTACATTTGAAAATGGACTATGGCAGGATAATGATTTTGCTATTGTTTGATGACAAATTCTTGCTGGGGCTTGGTGACAATGCTGCTATCAAAGACAGAATTCTGCTCTCTGGCTTAATTAATAATTTGTTGGTTTTTTTGTTAACAATATCCCCAGTAATGTGGTATGCTAAAGATACTGTTTTAAGGGAACTGCCAAGAACAGATTTCAAGAATAGACACGTGATTGTCTTTAACAGAGGGGATGGTATTTACCATAGTATTGAGATGTCACAATATTGACAGATTAAGAACTCAGTGTTTTAATTTGACTTTTGTGATGTGGAGTTTATTGTTCTCAGCATTCAACTGCTTTTAGCAAAAACATGATAAGTACTTTAAATGACTAGATAGCAACAATTATGTGAGGCTCTTACTCAGCTAGTCAGAAAAGATAAACAATACTTGCAGTTTCTTCTTCTCTTTCTTGTGCATCAAAACTCTTGCTCTGGCAGGGTGTCATCTGGCAGAATGAAGTGTGAGATAATGGTGGTGTTGTGACTAATACACAGGAATATCACTGGGTAGGTAAATATTTGCAGAGCAGGATAGTTTTGTATTTGTGACACACGTAGCATGGTTTGTTACACTGAGTGACGTGCAGCCTGACAGGATGAAATGTTCAGAATGTCCACAGTAGAACAGATAATCTCTGCAAAGCCATTGTGTGCTCACTGAAGGACATAATAGACAAAGTGTGATCCTCCTGGAGTGCATGCAGGCATTGCTGCTGTGCTGTGGGATTTACATAGCACAAATAACTGCGTTTGCACTGGTAAAATAGAGACATCACTCATCAGCTTAGCTCCTGTTCAGGTGTTAGTCTGCTCTGCATTTTAGTATTGATCTGTGAAAAAGAATGGCTGATGGGGCTGTGGAAACCAAGATAAGAGCATATGATGACAGTGTGAAGGTCAGCATTTAATTGAATGTTAGATAAGGGGAGATAGCTTCCTTTCACACCACGGTGCCTGTTTGTCCATTTACATTGTGTATCTTGAGATTTTGGACCTGGCTCTGCATTATGTTCTAGCAGCTGAGACCCTTTATTGGCAGGATTGATGGTTCCATGGGTTATATGTGACCTTTACAAGCAAATGATAGAGATAAAGGTCTTGGGATAATCTCTTTGGAGTAGGGTTTGCATGAAAAACTTTGTGTTGGAGAAGATGCTGTGAAACTTAGTCAAATAAATTTTTCTACAAAGCTTGGATTAAAAAAACAGATAAACCAAAAAGCCCATTTGCAACCAGTTTAGAAAAACTGGTAGAGATCTAAAGACTAGGGCGAGACCTCGGTTTTATTAATTTTTCTCTTTAAAATCCTTGTAGAAAAGCAAATTAAAAGGTTTGTCATCAGAGAGTGGTTTTCATTACATAGATGAAAAGGTAATTCGTATCCTGAAATCACCTGGGTGCAATAGTAATGACTTGCTGTTGTGGCTTGGAGTTGAGTACCAGCAAGGTGTCAAATCCATCAATATTAGACTTTGCTATAAACACGACTTTGAGTCCTCAGCCTGAGTCTTCAGGAGCAAACCCACTGAGAATGCAGATTTATTACAATCATTGGAACGTGAAAAGGAGTACATGCTACTTGTGTAGCTTGTCAGCCACAGTAATGGAATTACAGCCCAGAATGGATGTGTAGGAATACACGTGAATGAGTTTTTGTCAGGATCAGCAGAGGCTTTGCACAAAGGCCAGGAATCTCCTGCAGCCCTGAGCTGGGCCAGGTGTCCCGTGTGCCCTCGTGCCTCATTCTTACTGCCAGCTGCTCCATCCCCCTGTTTGGAGTGCAGGCTGCTCAGGCTTCATCTTGGGATGAATTCTCCCCTCCTCCAGCACCTCTGCAGGAGACTATTGAAGGGTTCTCCTCCTGTGGCTGCTGGAAACCTGATTTTCTTTCTGTTCAGATTTGTTTGTACACTCCGTTTGCCACCAGCTTACACAAGTCTGTAGGTTGTTGCTGACTGGAGTCTGGTGCTTCATTTTATCCCTCAGCATTCTTCTTACATGTACTGGAAATTCCATACTTTGTGTGTCCCACAGTGAATTTGCCATTTATGTTTTGTATTCGTTGTGTCACTGACTACAGCACTCAGTTCTCTCCCTCTTCTGTCACTTGCAGTTGATAAGATGCCTGTTAGGAGTCTAAAGCAACATTTGGAGCTTCCCTCCGTGCTTCTCACTGCAGGCCTCCAGCTGTGCTGTTCTCCCTGTGCACAGTTTGTGTTCACTGATGCCAGCACGCTGGTTTGTGCTGCAAGCCCTCATGTTTGTACCAGTGTAAACCTGCAGTCTTCAAACATTCCTTTTCCATTGCCATGTGTTGGCACGTGGAATATTCATACGAGCAGGTACTGGTGTGTCTCAGGGGTTTAATAAATAGTGGAAAGGTTTGTTTTGTTTTTCTGAATTCTGTGCTGCCAACAATTCCAAACGTGGCAGATGTGGGCTTTGCTTTCTGACAGCATTTGACCCACAAGAGGTTCAGGTGAGCAGCACTGAGAGCCTGAGTCAGCACTGTGGAGGGGGAATCCCTGTGCCAGTGCAGCTGGAAGATCTCTGCTCTACACTTTGCACTTTGTAAAGTATCAGATCAGATAAATAAAATGATGATTTCATCTTTGGAAAGGTTACCTGAGACTGCCGTTGGGAGGTGTCTTATCCTGCTGTCCTTTTGCTGACCTCTTTGCTGATGTTTCCATGTTGAGGCTGGTAATGTTTACATAGCCTGACACGACAGAAAAACAGTATCAGTGGAATTCTACAAAATTCTCTTGATGGCCCTAAAATAACCATTTTGTAAATATATACAGTTTGTCGTGGGATAATAATGGTATACCACTCTTAAACACATTACCTAAAATTCATCTATGCATAATGTGACTGACTTAAAGTTATTAACCATTCTGCCCTGTCCCAGCATTTTGAATTCTTTGTTTCATTGAAGAAAGAAACCCTATATTGGAAGTGTGGAATGCTCAAGTATCTCTTCACCTGGGGAGAAATGGTGCTTTGCTGCCATGAATCCAGCTTTATGATGACTGGGAGAAAAAATTCCGAACTAATTTTATGGAAACTCAAGAATTGCAATGTGGTTTTTAAAATTGTATTAATAACCCAAATATAATTTAACTTTACAGGAAAAAGAAATAATTTTTCTTTTAAACTTTATCAAGGCTCTTACCTGCCTGAGGGAGTCAGTGTAGTCCTGAGAAGCTGAAGTTACTCTGTTTTAATATCCTTTATGTTATTGGTCCTCTCATAAGAGTGTCCCTAAATGTTTCAATTAAAGTGAGTTTGTGATTTTTTATTTTTTTTTTTTTTAATTGCAGGGATATCCACCACCACCAAAATTTCATTTTGCTTTCATACTTCAGCTTTTCCCAACAAATTTTGTATAGTAACAGCCTTTGACTGCTGTGGAATTCTTACTAGGTCTGATTCCAGTATTAAAACAGACTTCATCCCAGTGTTAGTGTTTGCCTGAGAAGACGTTCCTTTCCCCTGTTTGGGCAGTGTAGCATTGGGCTTATCTTTGTCCCAGAAATTGATTGCCTGTTTTCTGGAGGAAGTTCAGGTGTATTTATCACCCCCAGCGTTCTATTTCTGCCAGTTTGTGCACCAACATTGAGTTATTTCTTACGGTGTTATCTCCTAGAAATGATGATTTTCTTCAGTGAGTGAAATTGTCTGTGTGCTGCTGAAGCAGTGCAGTGCTGTTGGAGCCTTGTTTCAAGGCTACTGTTGGACTCTGGTTTATGTCCCACCCTCTGACCACAGAGGTTCTGTCCCAAAGGACACAAATGCATGCAGGTGGATTAATTCAGTTTATTGCAGGGCCATTACCGTGCCAGGGACCCAGAAAGAAACTTAGACAGCCCTGCAGTGTCCCTCTCAACAGATATTCTTTGTATTTGCCTTGAGAGTAAAAATATGAAGGTGAGAATACACAGCAGTGCTGGATTAAAAACGTTAACCTTGACTTGATTGAAAATTGGGTGAAAGTAATGGCTGGGTTTCTTTCTGCCAGTCTTCTACTAAGATTATCTGATAGTCCTGGTCTTGTCATGTTTCTCTTGGAATGTCAGGCTTTTGGGGACTCAGAACATCAGGATTTCCCTCTAATTGGAACTCTAGGTGTCAAGGTGGTGGTAGATCTGTCACGAGCTTTGTAGGGCTTGGTTCTGTATATTTCTGCTTCTTAAAAATGTGAATTTACTCGATAAAGGAAAATTTCTTGATTGCCCTATTGCATTGACAGAACCAATATTAATTTTAAGTGATTTGTAATCCCAAAAACCTTGTATGCTTCATTGTGCACTGTTTAGAAAGAAACCTGCTTTTAATGCTTTATTTAGTGTTCTTTATAAAGTCACGTTCATGGTTGGTTTTTGCTACGTTATTTATGGTAAAATTCAGAGCTTCTGCATGAAACCCCTTTTCTTTTGATAATATTTTGGTAAAAGGAAAGCAGTAAATAAATCTGAAGACCTGGATTGTATAGAAAATTTCTTGCCATAAAGGAAACAGAATCACAGAATCAACTGGAAGTTAATGTGACTAGAAGGAGCAGACAATGGCATACATAAAAATAAGGACAATAAATTAAGGACACTTATTTTTTCTGGTAGTGCAGGAACTTGTGTTGCTTAATGGAAGTGATAAATGACACATGGACAATCCATTCTTGTCATGTAAAGGTTTCTCTTTAGATACCTTTGTTAGCAGCAGCAGTTTAAACCCAGAGATGAGTAGGGGCTGGTTGGTGTTGGTCAGAGCTGCTCTCACACCCAGTCCCGTGTGTGTGAATGAGCACCCAGCTTCCCCAGGGGCACACAGGGTAACAACCCAGTGCTCCCCACACACCATAACCCAGTTCTCCCCACACAATAGTAACCCTGTGCTCCTTTCCCCAGACGCCCGAGGAGCTGGAGGATGTGTCTGACCTGGAGGACGAGCACGATGCCCGCAGCCGTACCAGCGTCCAGACCGAGGGCAAGACTGACCGGGTACGTGTGGGCAGGGGACCTGCTGCTGGCTTCTCTTCCACCAAGTCACCTCACTGTTCAGGTGCTCTTAGCACCTCAACACAAGCAGTCGTTTGTAGATACTTACTGTCAAAATGTAATAAGCAAAGATCTGCTAAAGCTTTCAAAGATCACATTTTCATGCATGGTCTTCCACTTCTCAGCTAAACCAGAGTACTTCTTTAAAGGGAATGCTTTTCTTTGAAAAGAAAACCATAAGTGACACATACTTGAGAGACATGGGAGCACACACTTCTTGTACAAAGCAAGAAGAGTAGATGGTGCAGACAGTGGCAGGTAGGGAGCTGGCTCTCAGCAGTCAGAGGCACAGGCTGGTGCTGTGGGGAGATGTCTGTGGGATGTGCTCCTCCTTGTGAGATGGAAGGGGTTTTACACACAGAGTGTGGTTAATACAGCTAACCCCCCACTACTTCATAGTATGGACATTTCTATTTTTTTTTTCATTTCTCCCTGAAGTAATACAGTTACTGTGAATGTTTCTTTCTGTGGCATCTAGAGAGAGGTCATGGCTTAAAGCCTGAGTCTGTAGTTTAGAAACAATTTTCCTAGATTTCAGATCCTGCTATTGAGGCCATAAATGGCACATAACGCCCCAAAAGCAATAGAAAATTATAGCTTTGACTAAATTATATACATACGCACTTAGCCTTAAGTACCATATTGACAGACACCTGCACACACTTTTTTTAAAAAATATGTCTTAACAAATGTGTTTGCTGCTGCAGCAGCAAACAAGAAAAGTGATTTAAAGCCTCTTTATTTGGAGTGCTGTTTGATATTGATATTTGAAGATTTATAGCCAGAAGCTGTTTAGCAGTTTGAGGAATCTGTGTAGGGAAGGTAGATGTTAAAGGTTCAGGCAGTGTGTGGTGCAGCAGCTTTGTGCCCTGTTGGGAGGCTGTTGTGTGCAGTGCTGGCACCAGGAATGCCTGTCCCAGGAGTGCTTTGGCAAGATTGCAGAGCAGCCTTTTCTCCTCCTTGAGTTCTTTCTCTTGGGCATTTCAGCTGTAATAATTCAGTCCTGTTTATACATCTCTGGCTCCATATTCACTGTGCATAGGGGCACTCTTGCTTTGTTCAGAGTGTTGTAATTTCTTCTATGTCACATCTCTCACTGCTCCAGTGGGGAACTGGTGCCTTTTTTCTTTCTGTTTTTATCATGACATATAAAACCAGATGTGATGTGCGTATGCCACTTGGAACAAAGGCTACATCTTAACTAGCAAATCCTGTTTCCCTTATGTATGAAAAAGTCATGTATTATTAATCACACCTTCAGACTCTTATCTCCATAAAGAGGGAGAGTAGAGGTTAGTGGTGAGATAGTAGGACTGAGATTTGACCTCCTATTTATCTTCCTGACTCATCTTGAATATGTTACTGCAGTGATCTTTTCCCTCAGATAATTTCATATTTCTGAGATGAATATGATAGTGCCTGTGGCACCATCCCACGCTGGGGGATTCAGGGCAGCTGAGGCAATGTGCTGGGAGATCTCAGTATTTAAACTGGATAAAAACACTGAGGATTATTTGTAAGGTGATTTTACATCCTTGAAGAAAAGGTTCCTTAGGATCAAACCCTTAGCTGTAGAAACAGGTACTGCTTGTGGATCCAAGGACTAAGGCAGTTTTTCCCAGCTGGAAGTGAACTTTTCCTCTAGTGGTTGTGTGTAATTAGTGTAGTCAGCTCTGGAGGCTTATCACGGACTAATTAATGCCATCATGAGCAGAGTAATTCCACCGAGGGAGTAGTGGCTTGTTACTGTGGCACTGTGTTGGAGAGAAGGGTGACTAAGATTTTGCCCAGTTCATTACAACTCAGAAGGTGATGTACATGTTATTGATCAGGAAAAATGACTTTAAGTGTTTGAAGTTCACTTCACTTCAAAACCAGCTTAGCTTAATTTCAAAGTTGCTGCTGCAGGTTAAGGTGATCATCTTGAGGAGGAGGCAAAATGTTTTGTCTCACAAGTTAATCCACTTAGAGGTGGCAAGAGCAGAACTCTTCAGGCAGCCACACACCCACGTGTTTTTCCTCAAGAGTTCTGCAGACAGTTTTGTGAATGCATGGACAAAAATGTTGGAGATTAAGATAATTTTTTATACAATTTAGTTGCACATTGTGTTTGTGCAACAATTCTGGGCTGATAAAAAGTTGATTCTATGTGTTCTGTAAATGAGAAAATCCAGGATAAGTTATTTCATTGTTTTATTTGTATTGCATTTTAAATACAGTGATCAATTATATAGCTCTAAAATCTACTAAACTCTTAAGAAGAGAGTCTGGATAAAATAGCAAAGACTAAGAAGAATTGTTGATATTTGCATAAAAAGTAGTTAGTAGGGAAGTTAGATTTGCCATCAGATTAATTAGCAATTTTTGTTCAAGTGGCAAATACTGGATATTTAGGTTCCTACACTAAATGGAATGCTGACATGTGTTAACAGGAAGCATGTGTCATTTTGTTAATAAAAAAGCCAATTTTAGAATTTTTTTTTTTTTTGTTTAATTTTTATCAAAGCCCTACACAAGGACGAAATACTGGTAAGAATTCAAGCATAATGAAAATAACTACAGTAATTTTGAGTAGCTTCTATGAATAGTAATTTTGACACTTGATACATAGCTAAAGATTCCCTGTCAGGAGTCGTGATCTATCAAAAGCATTTGCTTTTCTTGCCAATTTTAAACCAAATTTCCGTAAAGGGAAGAGATTAAGTTACTGAAATACTCAAGGTTGTTGCAGAATATTATGTACTTCTACAAAGTAGAGCTGGGAAGAGCCTCAAGAACTCAGCCAGTCCAGCCATTTGTCCCAGGGCAGGATAAATACACTCCTTGATGCACACATCTATAGGAACAGCTGCATTGCTCTCTCTGCTTAGCTCATTACTGGAATTGAAGGTTTATTGGAAGCTTTTTGTCCTTACACCTCCTATGTTGCAATGAACACGTTAGCACTCATCTGCAGTGGACACAGAATGTGAGGTTCCTCTCTGTATATATTTTTTTTATGTACTTGTACATCCTTTTTCTGTGGCCTGTCTGTTTTGGAGACTCCAGGTGGAATAACTTCAGTGACTTTGATTTACTCTTCAAGGTAGCATTTCCTTTTAGTCTCTCTCTCCTCTGGGTGTTCTGCAGCTGGCTAATGAGTTCTGGAATTTTGTGTCCAGACTATTTATATTGCAAAAGGTGTGAAGCCACCTGTGATCTCAGCAGCACAAGTGGGAGGTTTGCACTATTTCCTGCTGTGTGCAGAGTTCAGAAGGAGCTTTGAGGTTTGCCTTCCTGCCAAGAGCACAACTTTTACCAGGCACCATTGCCCATGGCTGGGTGTGTCTCAGGTCTGTGTGTGCTGATGGTTTTCCTTAGGGCTGGAGCCCGTCCTTGGCTGAGCTGCAGCACCCCTGTGATGTTTGCAGCTCAGTTCCCCAGGGCACTGTGGGCTCTAAAGCAGCTTTTCACTGTGAGTGTGCAGGGTGTACTCCTGCTTCTGTGCAAGCACTGACTGATGGCAACTCCCTTCACAGCTTTTCATGACGGGTCCCTTGGCTTGCTGTGTGTTCTAGATGAGTGCTCTGTAAGCACTAACCAAAAATCCCACTGGGGATTACACCTGGACCTTATTTTCCAGCTTATTTGTAAGGATGACATGAGAGCCAGTGGCAAAGCTCTGCTGGAGCCCAAATTTAGGACATGATGCTTTTATAACCTCAGGACAAAGAGAAATTACATTTAATATGCTATAGTTGCATAATCTAAGCCAACCTTCCTAGTGAAGGCTGATGCAGAAATGGCATTAAACATTTAGTTTGCTATCTCCCAATACTTTTAACCTCTTTAGCCAGTTTATCCAGTTATGTTGCATTTAAAAATACAGCAGAACTGTCATGGCAGAACAAATGAGGCACTCTCTGAACTTGTTTAAGGAATGCTGCACTTCAGCAGGCTTGCTGCAGTTGTTGAAACTGGGAGGAGGCAGCTGGTGACAGCAGGTAGGGAAGTATTGAAAGGAACACAGCTTCTCCCCACTGTCAGCATCACACACCCACACAGTTCATCTCTGGGGGCGTGGATCCACTTAGCTGTGAATGCTGAACATCCAGCATCATCTGTCACCTCTTCATCCAAACTCACAAAGTAATGCCCTCAGCAGAAAAGTGGTAGTAAAGGGTAGTGGACATGTCTTACTCGTTGTAGCAGAATCCCTTTTGTCTCTGAATTCACTTATGGACACACTGACACTCAAACAGGATCAGACTCAGGGAATGATTTGGCTGGGAAAGGACCTCAAAGATCATCAAGTTCCACGGCAGGGATGCCACTCACTTGCTCAGGGCTCAGCTCACATGTGTATTTTATGACAGTGCTCTGCAAAGTTTGTTCAAGAAGAACACAGGTAAAGCTCGTGATTGGCAGTGCTGTGAAACAGCACGATGAAAATGTACTGCTGTGCTTGGAGTGATTTGCAGGGGTCCTGTTCTTTTTCACCAAATGTTCAGCTGACTGCAGCAGGAGGGCAGGAACAGACCACAGGGCTTTTTGTGGCTGCTGGGGCTCTGGTGGAATGAAAGCCTCAGCTCTTAAGACAAAGCAGGTTCACAAATCCGTTCTTCTGGCATCTCTGCCATTATTTTAAAACTACAGTATGTGAGGAGCAGGTTATTTTGTGTTCTTGCTTGTAAAAGCTCTCAGAAGTTTTTCATGTGCTCATTTGGGAAACTGGGGTTTGTTTCCTTGTAACCTACAAAATTGCAGGAAAACAGTGTTTTCCACTTTCCTTCTCTGTAGTTACATGACATATTGCAGCCTACAAAGCTGGAAATGTTAAGTAATTTTCAAGGGAGATTCTTTGATTTTGCTTGAATTTATTGTGCTGCTTTCTATTGCCTTTCTTTCCTTTCTGGTCCCTGTAAGTGATAAGAGTGGTGCTGGTGTGGATATGGCCAATCATTTGGTTTGGGGGGTCAGGACAGAAAAGATGTATGTCAGTCTGAGATCTTAAGAGCATAATCAAAGTTTATGTGAAAGTCAAATCCTTGGAGAGCAGCTGGAGACAAAGGTGGGCAAAAGGCCTCTCCTTAGGGTTGGGGTGTCATTGGCCAGCAATGTACCAGGGAGAGAGAATCAAAATCTTCACCACTTACTTACCCCCATGTGTCCTTACATGGCCTTAAAAGTTGAGTTTCTTCGGTGGGGAGCTGACAGAGGCGGGGGAGGGTAATGGAAGGAAACAGCAGTCTCACAGGCTCAGTCAGGTTTTAAATGGGACAATTCACATAATACTGATTCCAGCTACTAGGGACAAGCAGCCTTCAGAAAAGTTAAGTTGGGGAAATTTAAGAAAAAAATCTATACTTTTTTTTTTTAATAGAAGGAAGGAAATAGCACAGATAGAACTTCTTCTCTCACCTAGTCCTAACTCTGTTATCTGCTACTGCAGTAATAACTTTTTTTCTTAAAAGTGGTGAAAATCCATTTTCTTCTGCTGGACTAAATAAACCTGCATTCATGTAATAGTCATTCAGCTTAGATCTTTATTTCACAATTACTGTTGTGTTGCCTATTTCAATACAAAGTTAAATCTGTGCTTAAAAGGCTCTGTATACAATTGCTTTATTTTGTTGGACATGTTTTTAAAGCAGTATGAGGGAAAGGAGAGAAAAGATAAGGTTGGATTTACAGTTTCCTTGGCTCTTTGTTGCAGTGGATAATGTCTCATTGCACCTGAAGCTCATTATTGTTGGCAGATAGCAGGATGCTGGATGTCACAGTCCCCTCATTAAATTGTCATCTTTGCTGTGGTTTCAAGATCCAGGCCTGTGATGTTGGACTCAAACCAGTGTTGAAGCTGGGGGTTAGGAAATACACAGAGAGCCACCCATCAGCAAACATGTGTGAGATCATAGAAGTTCTCTTGCCTCTGTATCCCATTTGGGGGTTTTTTAACAACATGGGAGATGTAGCCTCAAAATGGTTGTGCTTTCTAATTCTGTGACTGGAGGGTAATTCTGACCACTCAGGTGGTTCCTTCCACCCTTAGCCATTCTGTGGTTCTGTGTGATTTTGTGACTGCCAATTACAGGTACATGCTGGGAAACCTGTAATTTTCAGTAATTTGTATAAGTGAGAGAGCTAACCCTGTAACAGTGATTCTAGCATAAATAAAATCTCTAAAAAGGCACGGCTTGAAAAACATACACATTATGTGTAGAGCTGATTATCCATTTTATTAATTACAAACAAATCACTTTCCATTACTGGTGGTTGATCATGTTTTCTATAGCAGAATAAGTCAGAAGCCATTTATTGTGTAATGACAGAGTGATGGCAGTGTGGCAATAATTGCTGTGTGCAGCTGTGGGTTCCTGTGGCCTGAAGGGAAGGTGTGAGGGTAGAAGCAGCACGGCAGCAGAGCCATCAGGGCCAGCATAGCTCCTGTCTGGGTGGGAGCTGTGCTGAAGGGCCAGAGCTCCATGTGGCCATGGCTTAGCCCTGGCTGCTGCCTGGCCTGACACAGCAGGGCTGTCTGACCCATGGCTGCTCGTGGACAGCATTAAGCAAAAACTTTTCTCTCACCACGCTGCATTTTCAGGAGCTTTTGGTAATCTTATGCACATCCTGATTTCTGACGTGTTCATCCATTTGTCTTCTGCAAAGACAGAAGATGCCTGTTTGAACAATTAAATCTTTTTCACTTCCTAAAATGATAATACAGAACCTTCTCAGAAGAGAGAAAAAGCATACCTGAGTGTTTCAGGGCAATTAACTCTTTTCATTGATTATTTCTTACCTGAATCAATACTGCATTTTGTAACTCTAACATGTATCATACTTAAAACTACTTAGGCTCCCTTAGCCCTAAGAAACAGAAAAATTTATCAGTCATCTTTCATAAAGCCTCTTTGGAAGAATTTAATCTTCTTTCTCTCACTATGTTAAAAGTAATGGTTTCAGGAGCACCACTATCCCCATCACACTGAGATTATTTATTTGTCCCAACCCAGTCACAAAAGTGACAACATACAAATGTTGAAATTTAGAAGTGCTCAGACTCGAACAGTTGGCTCAGGCCATAGTGTGTTTAAACTGTGTATTTATTAATGTGCAGTGGTTTTGTTTAAAGAAAGAAAATACTCTGACACGGATGTTTTACAAATCAAATTATTCTGTTTTAGGCCAAGATGACTCAACTGCCAGAAGCTGAAAAGGAAAAGATAGCTGAGCAAGTGGCCGACTTCAAAAAAGTCAAGAGTAAGCTCGATGCAGAGATTGAAATCTGGGATGACACCAGCAATGACATAATTGTTCTGGCCAAGAGGATGTGTGTGATTATGATGGAGATGACTGACTTCACAAGGTAATTTTGTAAAAAAAGGGTTCTTGAATACTTAGAAATGCTGGGAGTTGTTGTCAGCTATTACAGCAGCAAAATACAGAGGTTTTTAATGGTAGCTCATAGTGTTTGCAAAATTGAGTGGCTCAGCTAATGCAGCACATCAGGTAGGAGCACTGAAGTGTTGGGGGATTTAATGTTTTGAATTATGCTTATTCCTAGTTTTTTGCCTTTGTTCTCTCTTATTAATTTGTTGGTAGGTTTTTTGCACGTGTTTTAGCACTCTGTTTCTGTTCTCAGTAATAGGGGAAAAAGTAACAAAATAATCTCGATTTTAAGCTGTAGATTTGTCTCATCTGTTGTTCTGTCTGCTTGTATCAGAGAGTGCTGTCAAGCATGAAACACGCTGTACAGAGCCCATGTGTGACAGAACACATTCAGGCTCATACATATTTTATATCCCATTATTGCTGTTGCTTTCATCAGAACTCTTGTGCTGCTAGATGTAGTTTAAAGAATGAAGAGTAGCACAGCAGATAGCTCTCAAAGCTGGTTTTTCTTTCTGCTGCCAGTATGTGTTCAGTGGTGCTCTTACAACAGGAAACAAGTTCAAGTGCAGAAGCTTTTTCTGCCATGCTCTGAATTAAATGTTGTGCAAATCTCATCAAATTGATGATAACAAAGGAAGATGGTGGTGGTGGTGTCAGTCCTTCCCTCCCCCAGTCTAGTTAGCAGGGAAACAGTTGCTGACAGGTGAAGCCTTAGCACAGCCACTCTTTGAGGACACTTACTGCCTCATAAAACCAGTCCTTCCATGCAGGAGACGAGGAACCATCTCTTGGTATGTTGGTGGTGTCAGTGAGCAGGGCTGCAGCAGCTGGGACACAGCTGGGACACAGCTGGGCTCTGCTGCAGGCTCCTTCTGGGGAAGGCAGCTGTTGCATTTTATCACACTGGCACTTCCCAAATCTCCCTGCAGGTCAGATGGGGTAAAGACCTGCATGGAGAAGTCTGTGATCTGTTATAAAGCTGATTTTAAATATCTCCTTCAATAAAAAGTAGTGTTTCTTCTTTAATAATGAAGTGTGGTAAAAGGAAGATTGGTATCTGTGTGAGTTATAGGTGAACTCTCGTGGCTCTTGCTCCTGTTGCTGCTTATCAAAGTTGGAAGTGGTAAGTGCTGAGGAGCACAGCTGGCTCTTCACTTCTGCTCTCTGGAAATCTGGGAGCAGATCATGGAACTGTTTAGGTTGGAAAAGATCCTTAAGGCCATTGAGTTCATCCATTAAACCAGCACTGCCATGTTCATTGCTAAACTGTGTCCCAAAGTGCCACATCCCATGTTTTGAGCAGTTCTAGGAATGATGATTCCATCACTTCCTTGGACAGCCTATTCCAATGCTGACCACCCTTTCAGTGGAGACATTTTCCTTAATACCTAGCACAGACCTCCCCTTGGTGCAGCCTGAAGCCATTCCCTCATCATGTCACTGGTCCCTGGGAGCAGAGCCTGAAGCCTCTGGCTGCACCCTCCTGCCAGGGAGCTGTGCAGAGCCAGAACATCACTCCTGAGCCTCTTTTCTGCAGGCTGAGCCCCTTCCCAGCTCCCTGAGCTGCTCCAGACCCTTCTCTGGGCACCCAGGACATGAATATTGCAGAAGGCACAGCATGAACCAGCTCACCTTCTCTGAGCTCGCCACTCTGCAGCTCCCAAGCTCTTGAGCATGGAAGGGATAAAAGGTCCTGACATCTTGTATTTGTTACATCAGAAGCTACTCAGACAAATAGTAAATTTCTGTGTTTGAGTCACTTGCTATATAAGCTGATTGCTATTGTTCCTCATGGTATTACCTTGCTTTCATTGTTACTTAATCTCAATGAGTGGTTTTCAAAGTTTTGGGTTTTCTTCTCCGTCTTCTGTAGAAGTAAATAGCAAGAAGTGGCCTGACCTGCTACAACAGTTCTAATAATGTTTTAGTGGAAGTTTTCTAATTTCTCTTCTGATTGGTTAAAAATACACAAGAAAAACGCCAGGGTTGCATTTGGTTTGTTCTGTTTTTCCCTAAGCTTTATGTGTAAATGGAGCAGGATTTTTGTTTCCCATTGCCAAAGCAGATCTACAGTTAAAAAGCTACTTGCCAATAAACATGCCAAGTCCCTTTTGCTCATAGAAGGGAACGTGTACCTAATTCAAGCAGTGCTTTGGATCACAACACTGGAACTGGTAATTCCTGTTGAGAAAGGAACAAGGAAGGGTCAATGGTTTAAGCATAAAGGGAGCTCTGCTGTGAAGATTTGAGAATAGTCTTGTTGTTTGAGCCCTGTGCAGCAGGGAAAGTTCCTTCAAACAGAACTGCAGGATGTCTCCGTGCAGGATTTTCACAGCACTTTGATGATAGGAGAGGTATCAGCAGGGCCCAGGTAAGGCAGGGACACCAGGCAGAGCTTGCTGCTGTGTCAGAGGTGATTTTGTAGATGTACCACAGAGAGCCCAGAGCTGGTAATTGCCCTGGCTGGGCTGTTGTACAGCCTGTCGTGACAGTGTGCAGCCAGGGCCTCAGGATTCACAGTGCCTGTTGAGGGCTCTGGGACCATCCCTCACACTTCTCTGTGAGAGGTGTAAACAGTAAAGGAGAATGGCTGGGCTTCTACCCCTTACCCTTCTGGAGGCTGCTAGATTCCAAATGGGGCCATATGAACACTTTCTTTAAACAACAGTGCAGCTCTCAGCAAACTGTTCAGAAAGTGTCTCATATTTGTTCTTGCTACTTGACATTTGTTTCTAAAATGGCATCAATATTGGAGTTAATATGAGAAATATAGCGAAAATAGCAAAACAAATTAACAAAGCTAGGAAAAGAAAATCTAGCTAAGTCATCCTCCAAAAGCTGTGCCTTCTATCCTTGTAGTAAGACTAAATGCAGTTCTCTAGTACTTCAAGGGTTGCAGCTTGGGTGAGCTTTCCTCTCTGTAGCACCAAGTGCAGCTGCCTTGGCTCCTCACCTGGTGGTAGCCACAGTGCTCGGGCTGGTTCCTCTGGGCTTGCAGTTCTGTGGTACTGGGCTCAGAGACACTGAGACACACACATGACAAAGAGGACAGAAGAGACTTCTGTTCCTAGTCAAGGCCATCCATGAACCTCCTCACCAAAACTCACTATTGGATTTACTTTTCCTGCTGCCCCTTCCCACTTCAGAGCTACCTGTGATCCTCCTGTTTCCCATCCAGCAGCCAGATGCTTTTGAAGTTCTGTGGAGCTTTTTCATTGCACTCTGAAATCTGCTGCCCTCCTTGCCTCTTTCTGGCCCTTCTGTGGTAGGAGCAGCTTCTACTTGTGTTACTTAGGTAGAGATGTTTTTTAAGGTAAATGAGTAAATGATACTGCTCCTTCTGCCTGAATGCCACAGAGCTTCTAATATTTGCAGAAATAACTCAGGATTTTGGAGGCAGAAATCCAGTATCTGTGTCCTCTTGCCCATCCCAAAAGCTTGTGACTGAGTCTGAATTTCCTGTACACTACTGCTGTGTCTTTATTAATGATACTTGCACAGAATATGCAAGAATATGCAAAGTATCATGGATGCTTCTGCCACTTTTATAGTAGAAATAATTTCAGCTGATTCTTAAATAAGTATTTAATGTGATTTTGCAGTTGCTACTCAATATAATTCTAATAATTGTTAAATATTCCTGCTTTGATAGTAAAACTTCTAAAAAACCTATAAAATCCAAATAGATTACTTACTTTATACAACCGTTATTCCAAAGGGAAAATCACCTGGTGGATTGAAGTCTTAGAACCAAAAAAGAGAAATATTTAAGAAACAAAAATAACGTAACAGTTTGGCTGTGTGACAGTGTTGCTCTAAGTATATATATATATATATCCAATTTGCCTGCAGGCTAAGTGGATTTGTTTTCCTGTAGTAGGCACAGTTACCATCAATAGTGGCATTATTAACCAAACACAGTAGATCATGAATGCTCGGTGAGATTTTGCCCTTTCTGCTGGGGATTAAGCAGTCAGGATTGCCTCAGTGCCACAGGGTGTGCTGGTGGCAGTGGCAGCTGCAGGGATGTGGGGGAGCAGAGGCACACACCCCCCTGCACTGCTCTCTGCAGGTTAACAAAGCACATTAAAGACTGCACAGCACTGCACTGAGCAGCTGATGGCCAAAAGAAGGAGCAGAGCCTTTCATCCTTCCCTCTGCACCGTGTGTGTGCTCAAGTACAGCTGCAGCCAGGAAATGGCTTTGCTGTTACTCCAAACTGGAGTAGAAATACCAAAGGGAGGGGATCAACTGGAGCTGCCTGTCAGCATCACGGCAGGAGGAGGACAGTACATACACAGGCCTGTGTGCATCAGCTTGGTTTTTGCAGGCTTCTGTTCCTTTGTGTCACCTGTTGTCCCTTAGCCACAGCCATTTCGGGCACCTCTGTTCTGTGCCTTGGCTGCCAAAGCAAACACACACTGGCTCTCACCTCTGAGTGCTGACTGCAGGCTGGCATTCACAGTGCTCTGCTACAATCAGCTACACTTCTACATCCCTGAAATTGGTCTTGGGATGTCTGGGGCAATAAAAGCTCTTCAGCAGGTGTCAGGACAGAAAGATGTTCTGTTATTATTTCTTCCTTCTCTCAGTGACATAATTACATTGTGGATATCTTTCTGCACGATAAGCATGTGTAATTATTTCTCACTTTATCTGTTGCCTGTTTCCTTGGAAGAGTAAGACATTCACAGTTTGTTCTTTCATTTAAAAACTGTTTTTAAAAAAGGTGCTTTACTTGTGCAACTTCCATTTCCTTGGAACAGAAATGAAAGTGAGCATAATACTATGGTTTTATTGAGCTTAACAGTTACAGTCAGACTTCTGATAGAAAGGTGACAAAAAATATTTTCTCTTGACACTTGACCTTTCTTGTTTAACTTTTTATATTGTCAATGCTTGCAAATAATTAAAAAAAAAAAAAATCTTATTTTCCTGGAAGGAAACCAGATATTGATACAAGTAGCAAGGCTC